TTACAAAGTATCAAAATTATATATTTTAATTTGTTATGATATGAAGCTAGCCTATCAGCATGACGCCGCGCTCCTTGTTGTTATATAAGCTTTGTTTACGTAAATATTATATTATATTCTACTTCAGCACCACATTTGGTTTTTCTTGGCATTATTATAGAGTTTATTTGTTTCTGAAAAATGTAAAATGGAGTGTTTGATGCACTATTTATAAAGGAAATAATTGATGATTCCAGAAAATGCTATAATTTTTCCAGTAATAGTTAGAACAAAACATTTATGTCTAATATGTTTTTTACAAAACGTTAAATGTTTACTTCATATAAGATGGTTTATTTAATCTCCAATAATGCAAATTAATATAATAATCAAATAATAAAATATAAAGCCATATACAAAAATATATTTAAAAGAAGAATCTCTTAATCCTTTATTGCAAATATCTTGATTACCGGTATATTAATTAAACTAAGGTTGAATGGAAATTATGAAAATATGGGCACTTATAATTTTTTAGCTATATTATTATTATTTCAACATTATTTTTAATGGCTTATCAAGATAATTTTTCTTGGGAATAAACTTCTTGTTCTCTACGTATTTATATATATATTTTTTCTTGTTTTACATTACACCTGTATCGTTTGTTTGTTTTGAATTTCGCACAAAGCTACACAAGGGCTATCCGCGCTAGCGTCCCTAACTCAGCAGTGTAAGACTAGAGGGAAGGCAACTAGTCATCACCACCCACCGCCAACTCTTGTGCTACTCTTTTACCAACGAATAGTGGGATTGACCGTCACATTATAACGTCCCAACGGCTGAAAGGGCGAGCATGTTTGGTGAGACGGGGATCACCTGTATCGATTTCAGGACAATGGAGCTAATGAATTAAATTAAGTTAAAACAATGTGTCATTTCGCTGTACAAAATACTTTTTTGGTCGAATATTTAATTGATTATATGTAAACAAACATTGAAATATAATTCATAAAATAATTTAGTACGACAAGATAATTCTGCACAATCGAATTCGATATCTAATGTTTCTGAGATATCTCTCGGTAAACTAGTCAATCTTAACCCTTTTTCTCTTCTCAGAATTTCTTTCAGTTAGACAAATGTATAAATATGATATATTTAAAGTGGTTTGTTATTATTACTGTATACTCAAAGATCGATTTAACGGTACTTCCAATATTTTATAAGACATAAATTTAACTATTCATTTTATCATATTTTATTTTTTGCGCTTTATATAAGTATTTTGTATAATTCAACAAATTTTAAATCTATAACTATACCTACCAAAAAATGAAAATATTCCCAGTAGCACAGTTTTTATCCTTCCTATAAAACCTGAGATTCCAAAGTCCCAGAACATATTACCACGTTCATCTTTTTCGAAATGATCTTCTTGAATATTATCGGACTCCAAAAGATAAAATTCATTAGAAAATACCAACTGTGAATTCATTAAAAGTAAAATAAAATTAAAAAGTGGAATAAAAAAACGATAATATTTATTCCTTTCCATGTCTACTGCACAAATAATCACAAATCGTTGACTCAGTTGCCATTAAAAGTCGTAAGACGAAGAACTATGACCTTCTTGAGTTATCATTATCTTGTCACGTGGCCGATAGCATGGTTTAATCCCAAAACTGCCCCATACTTGTATGTTGACTGATTGCTTTAACTCCAGCAACAACAAATGTGCTGATTGCTTGTGCAACATTGGATTTTGATGTCAGAGCTTATGTTAACGGTATTTTTTTTTAATCTAAACAATACAGATCGTGCACTGAACAAGTTATCTGTGCTGTACTAATAGTACATTTAATGCATTATTTGTGGAACACTGATATTTTCATGTTTAACTGTTTTGAAATATCCTCAAATCGACACATTAGCACAAAAATAACAGAAAATTGAGCTAATTTGCATAATACCATTAACGAATAAATAGATAATACAGAAAAAATGTTTTGGTTATTGAGGACAACTTATAAACAAAGTTTAAAGGTTACTGTGGCTCTTGTGGCACGTGTTCAAACAATATTTAAGTAACATGCACAGACAATATCTAGTCTTTATGACATGAAACTAATATATGATGATGGAGTTAAGAAGATGCCGTATTTTAGGCCGATCCATTTAATTTCTTTCTAGTATCCTCAGAAATTAGATGACAGAATTCTGATACTGCTACTCATCAAGGACTTACATTAATTTGCATCTCATTTATATATCACCTTGGGAAAAGGAAGAATAGGACTATCACTTTCATTGTTTTTGTTGATAAAGTTAGAGAAGCAATTACTTATTCACAGGCCATGTTTTCTCTATACTTATGCGTGTTCACTGAAATATGATATAAATACATTACAGAACTTATAAGAATAAATTAAAAATAAAATATTACTTTTAGGCCTCATGCTAAGAAAGCAATAGGTACAAAGATGCAGAAGGCTATGTTAGTGAAATTTAGGATAATACCCTAATTTTCATTCCTTAACGTTTTCAAATTTGGTTTGGTTATTGTTAAACGCAAAGCTACACGTTCTATACTCTGTCCACAACGTTTATAGAAACCGATTTTTAGCGTCGTAAGTTTGCAGGGTTACCACTGAACCACTAGGGGGCAGGTTTTAAAGAAGTAAAATTTAAAAAATAACGAACGTAGCGTCACTTAATTTAAATGATTTAAAATTTGGTTACGTTTGATTTGTTTATATAATGAGGATTGTTTAAATGAAATTGATATGGTGAAATTCCTTGTAACCAGTGCCGGATTTATCTATAGGCTTGGCAGGCTGAAGCCTAGGGCCCCAAAATCTAGGGGGCCTCCGGCCAAGGTGTATACTATTTGTGACGCTGTCATAGGCCGTTCTTACACATGCTGTCATAACGCACTGTAGTCTCTAAACAACCCTT